ATTGTTAGGAAGGGTAGTCCACAAGCTTTTCTTTGCTAAATTCTGCCTGACTTTGAAAATTCCCTTCTTAATTTGTATAATTAAGATATATATTAATTTGAACAGATATTATGACAGACAAAAAAAAGCAAAGCAACATGGCATGCATGCATATATCAACTTGGTCTTTCTTAGAAGACTTAATCCATGTGAGGGAGTTGTTGATTACCCACAAAAAGTAATGGTTGTGTCCCAAGATTTATCATGGTTAAGTAGTTGTCAATAAGGTGAGGTATTGCATCCTTACGGTCTAAATATGGACAATTATCTCCATCTCTTTAAGGTTAAACAATGTGATTCTTCTCTCATGAAAGCATGATTTAATTAAAACCTAATGAATGTTATCGACATGTCGGTATCACCCTAAAGCTGGTTGAAAGGGCATTGTTAAGAGCAGATGACATGTTTTAATCTCTTTACCTTTTTGACTTTTCCTCAACCTCAAGTTAACCTTTCTCTTCCAACCCCCAAATGGCAATTTTCCAATTAACTTGGTCAATTTAATTAACAAAAAAGATGTACCAAAAAAAAAAAAAAAAAAGAAGAAGAGAGTTGAGCAATTAAAACTATACTAGACTATATCATACTACACAACTTAAATTATTAAATGAGTGTAGACCTCTTATACTGAGGACTGTTATTCCATACAAAGGTTCTTACTTTACAATACCGTGCAATTCAAGTTGAAAAAATATGGCACTCTTTAATTAAACAATGTAATTGAAAGTAAATAGAGAGCTTGTTAATAATTTAAGTGACCCACTAATAATCTCTATCTATTATTGAAAGTAAAAAATTTTAAGTTCGTCTTTCACTGTATGTGGATGGGGTTAATAGTAAGATGAAAGATGATTGCTTTTAATTGTGAAACCTAAAATAAAAATAAAAATAAAAAATAAAAAAAAAAGATACAAATTTCTAATTCTACCCTTACCAAATATGAATAAAAAGATTATAGTTTGTTCTGTACAAACTAACTCAAAATACCATCGAATGATAGAAGTTTTCTCAAGCCATTGATCATCTATTTCAAAAACTTCATTGCAACGCCAAAAATTATGGTTCTAAGTATATCTCTCCAGCCATGATGGTGAGTTGAATTATTGAAATGTATGAGGATATATATATATATATATATATATAAGTGTTTTGGAGGCATTAATTAATTGTGGGAGGGAAGAAGAGAGGATGCCAATGTTGACAAGAGCAGATCACATGGAAGCCATATGGGATTGTCATATACAGGCACCGTCTTATTCGGACTTCCTGTGTGATCAGTCCATAACACACTGTACTAGTGTACTTAGACATAGTTGCTGGACACTCCTACACAGGGCCCATATTTTTCATTTCATATTCAATTTCCAATTCTTTCCATCATGTAATTGATGTTAATTTAGAGTTATTGAAAGTTCACGTACAAGCAAGAAATCTCACGTCTTTAAGAGAATATATATATATATATATATACACAGTTCATACTGAAATATGAAATCAGGATCATTATGTGGGGAGAGTCTGCCCCCATTTGATAATTAATTTTATGCGGTTTAGAGCAATTTTCCAACTCCTGATTGCTGGAGTGAAGCATGGCTTGGGTTCCAAAAATTTAGTTGAAAACACCTTAAACTACATGATTTCAATAAGATCTCATTAAAAACCACTAACATAAAATATTTTTAAGAAGTGGATGAAGATTAGTTTTTTCTCCTTGTGATGGCTTATTAAAAGGTCGTGTCATTTTAATGTGCTTTTCTGCCTAATTCATATACATTTATACCCATATGTGCCGAATGGATGTGTTAGGTATTACATGTGTTCTCCCGGAAGGCTTGTCTCTTTAACATGAATTTTTGAAAAGTGAGAGTTTACTTATACATAACAGAATAAAAGGGGGAAATCTCCTTGTTATATGGGCTTTAAAGTCCTGGAATGATATAATCAGAGCGTGATTCACTAAACCATGCATGGCCGATGATACTTAACAGGCTTCAGAAGACAAAGAAAATATAATCTGCTTTTAGAAAACTTAAAAGGGGCCATCTATTTCGACCCGATATCATTGGGCCTAGAGAAAGAGACTAATTATGTGATTTTGTTGTCTTATAAATGGGCTGACCTACTTCTGTACTTAATTACATCAACCCAAACTAATTAAAACCCAATCATAACCAATAGTAGATTGGATTGTATTGAATTGGATAATAAAATTTTAAAACTCATTTAATCTTTCAAGATGTTACATGTTAATATGATATGGCATTGAATAAGGAGAGAGATATATGTATATTATACATGGTCCTTTAAAAAAAAAAAGAACAAATCATATAATATTAAATCAGCTGTTACATCATGTTGTGTTGTGTGTGATATTATGCAAGAAATATTGTGCGCATAACTTTCCTATTTAATCTTAGCTTCGGGTTTTGTCTAATAATCAACCAAAGTAAACCAATTTATTTTATTTTTATCCTAAATTTATATTAATAGAAAAGTGATGTTATAATATTTATAAGGGGTTAGCCCCTTCAATAATGATAATGAAATATGCAGTTACAGCTATCTCTTATATTAAATAGTGAATGTATCAAATTTACATTAAATAGCAAGTGATGAATTTCATTATTTCTTGCCTTTGCCAAAAAATTAAAAAGTTTAGAGATTTTCACCTTTTGATCTCAAAGTTATTAAACTTACCCAAAGAGTTATAATTTAGACAAAAATGAGATTTGCTTTTTATTTTATTGACTAAAGTTTGATTTTTTAAAAAAGTTGATAAAGAGATAATTTCATATAAATTCTTTAGTTTAGTGTGAATGACTTATTTTTAACCAAAATTGAAGAGAAATTAGTCTAGAGATAAACACAAATGAACCCTGAAACAATTGGCTACCTTAAAAAAAGAAAAATTCTTGAACTTTCTCTTCAATGGATGGAAAATGATACAATTATGCTTGTTTAAGCAAACTATTTTTAATTTTTTATTAGACTAAAATTTCGAATAAAGTGCAATGGAAGATATCACGTTTTATTGAGTTCAACGAAGGACACGAACTTTTCCCTTTCTATGGGTCATACTTTTGTACTAGTTTTTTAGAATGGCCTATAAGCGTTCACATGTTCACTTTTTTGTCCGATGTATTTTTTTTTTTTGGACAGCCAAAAAAAAAAAACTCTTGTATTATTGAATATAAAGGGTACTCAAACTCATGAGTCATGACGTCACACTAGAACGACTTGGGTTTAGCAAATTACAATCCCACAGAAAAAATTGAATTCTGAAGTTGGTCATATTTGTCCAATGTATTGTTATTTGCCCAAATCATGTAGTTATTATTATGTTTTTTTGAAAAGCAAAATTTATTATAAATTGAGTACAAGGGGTACCCATACCATATATAAGTAAGAGTTTCTTACATATTTAGTGCATTCTCCGCAATGCATTGGCAATAATTTAATATTGAAAAAATCAGAGACACAATCCAAGATTTGTAATCCAATTCTGTAGAAGCATATTATTACCTTTGCCTCTATCTTTTAGTCAATGAAATGCCCTAACTTGGACTAAGTCGAATATTTTGTTGATGTCGATTGCCCTATCCTTGAATATCCTTTCATTTCAAACACCCCATAGTGTCCACAATATTGCAAACCAAATGATCTCCCAACCATGCTCTAATCTTTTGGAGTAAACAAGCCTTTCATGTTGAGCAAAAACTTCCCAACAGGTTGATAATCCCACTATTGGTAAATACCACCAAGTGAAGCATTTATGTCATATTTCCAAGGCAACTTTATAGTGTAAAAAGAGGTGGTCTTTCTCTTCCTCATGCTCATTATAGATGCTGCATAGAGTTTCATTGACATCTTTGAGAACTCCTTTTTTGAAAAAGTTTATTTCGGTTGGGTTTTTATCCAATCTTGTTGGCCATACGAACCTACATACTTTATGAGGGAAGATGAGGAAAGATGAGAGCATAGAGCTAAGAAGGGTAAGCTTACCACCAAACGATAACTAGCAGTTGTTCCATTTCCATAATTTCTTCTTGAAGCCTTCCATCAACGATTGCCATAGTGATAGTCTTCTATTGTTACCCCCCACCAATACTCCAAGATATTTGAAAGGCATTTCATCGACATTGCAGTTCAGTAGGCAGGCCATCTTCTTTAACCAATCCTTCTCGGTGTAGATCCCATGTATTCTACTTTTGGCATAATTTATCTTAAGTCCAAATGCTACTTCAAATATTCAGAGTATACACTTTGTTGCCCAAATGTTGTCCTCCGAAGCTTTGCCAAAGAGAAACATGTAGTTAATCTCCTTCCAATAAAACATGATATCGTTCCTTGATTGCTCTTTATCCTAAAGTTAGGGTCCTTAATTGCCTACACATTTTCATTGTCACAAATCCATCACTTATATTTATTTACTTTTGAGTTTCATGTGCGAAGCAATTTTCTTTTATCCTTAATTCATTTACTTCACTTGCATGCAATACCATTTGAGCTCAAAGCCTCTCATATATTATAGTGAAAAAGTTAGATATTTATCATTACATGTTTAAAACTCTCATCATTAAATTAAAATAATTTGTTTAATTAGTCAATATCAAATTAATAAACTAAACTCTTATTGGTATCACAAATGAATGATTAGGTTTTCCCATAGCCGTTAATAAATGTTCTTAGTAAAGTTGCCTAACTATATTAAATCGATTTATTTTATTAGATGAGATGCATATCCATGGCTTTGTAATTAAGCCAGCCAGCAGGGTTCACATTCAGCCAGAATGAATGACCTAAAAACTTTGCGCCAACCCTACCATATCCCCTCGAAGAATATATCCTATATTTCCCTCATCATTGATATCTTCTAACCATTTAACAATCCCATCCATGGAATTCACTTTCTTAGGCATCTTTTAAATGAGGAAGACCCAGATTGGTTTACAAATAATTGGTTGTGCAATTAACAGAATATATTCAAGAACCCCACTGCCTAAATGGTACGTGTGTGTGT